CATCATCTCTTATTCATTTACAGGTTTAGAATATTTAAACCAATTTAAGAGGTCTTCAATTTCCTAACAGCCTGGGAACCTCAGAGAGCGTGAAAAACATCTGGACCCATCCAGTTTTCTATCATGCAGGCCTAAAACCTCTCAGAATCTCTCCAGTCTGAGGATACAGGTTTGAGCCAATGCTGCTGGTCTTGGGCTGGGCAGATCTCCCTTAGAGCAGGTTTTGTTGATGTCACCAAAAGACAACTAGAGGCGAGCAAAAAACCGTCTCTCTAACTCAGACTACAATCACAAGGCACTGGGAAGAAGGAGTGCTGCAGCAAATGTTAAATGCCTTAAGTTTTGATATTGAAGGAGGAACACTGGCATGACTCAGACGTGTTATCAAGAAGACCTTACCTCTTTCTGGTTCTCCTCAAACTTGGCGAAAGCCACGTACAAGTGCTCATCCATGTGCTCCTCCCCGAAGAACTCCACCGCCCGCTCGTACACCTTCCTGGCGTGGGCAAAGTAGCTGTGCTTCTCCTCGAAGCGAGCGTACTTGATCCAGTTCTTCACCTCGGGGTGAACGAGCACGAGTACAGCTCTTGTTAAAGAAACAGCCCTGGCTGAGTGGCACATCCCCGGCTCTGCTCCTCCCAGGGGCTACCGGCTCAAGCACTGCACCACACAGCTCCCAGGATGGCACACAATAAATGCAGCTGGGAAGAAGACGCCCACAGGTCCAAGCATGCAAAGGCTCTGTGCCCTACTGAGAACTTAAAAAGGGGTAAGGGGCAGGGAAAATCTGAGGAGAAACCTGAAACAAACGATGGCTACAAAAGAGCTGGGTGCATGAGTGGTGCAGGTAAACACATGCTGTTGTGGCAGGACCTACAGCCACTGCACTCAGTCTGGAGGCTTTCTCTAAACATGCTTTTAACACCTCCTGCTGGCTCCCAGAGTGGTGGCTCATTCCCAGCACACCGCAGTGAAAAGGCAGAGGGACGCTGCTGGACACCGAATACTTGGGAAGGAAATAAAGAACGGAGACCTTAACCCAGGCAGGAATCACGAGGCTCTGAAAAGGATATATCTCTCGTAAATGCTTCGTGCTCTGTCCACCTCCTTGTATCTCAGCTCAAAGTTAATGTAGGAATGCCAGGCTTGCTCCTCTGGCTGCCACTCCATCCACCGCTCAAACACCTGGCGTGACCCAGCAACGTTCCCCAGCATCTCCTCCATGTACGTGTACTTGTACCTGGGGAAAGGACACGGAGCTTCTGCAGTCACGTGTGAGCACGTCCCCTCAGGGATGCCTGGAGTGCCTCCTAAGAGCAGCCCTGAGCTTCCCCCACCTATTTCCTCCCACCCCAGAAATGCAATGTAGGCACAGCAGTGGCTGGTGGCATCCAGGCACACAAACATCCTTCTCCCCCAAGGCTCTTGCCACTTAAAATTTCAAAACCTTTCCAAAACTTCAGCCTTCCTCCTTTTTTTTCAGACTAGCCCGGAGACTTGGAGAAACAGGACAATCTGCATAACCCCAGGACAGCCAAATGCTGTGGGGTTTTTTGGGGCTAAAGGGGATCTCGCTGCTCTGCCACCGCACCAGAACTGGTTCACCCTGGGCAGGGTGGTGATGGCCCGGTCCCAGATGTTCCGGGCGTGGTTGACCTGGCGGTTCTTCATCTCCATCTCGGCATATTTCAGCCAGAGGGTGACGTTCCTGTAGTCCACGTCCAGGGCACGCTCGTAAATGGAACGGGCTCTGGAAAACACAAGTACAGGGCAGGTAAAATGTGCCTCCCAGACTTTGGTGTGTCTAAAAAGGCTCGTAAGGGATGCCTGCAGCAGCATCATCGTTACCTCTGGATTTCCTTCAAGCTTTCCTCCCATTGTGCGTACTTTATCCAGTTACTGATAACAGTCCTGTTCTTTCTTATGTTATCTTCAAAAGTCTGAGGAGAAAATGACATCTGTATCAGTCAGAAATCCTTCTGCAGACCATTCACATCAAAAATGGCTTATGGGGTATTATTATAACGATTAGCAATATGCTTGCTTTCCTTAGGCATTTTCAAAGCAAAAAGTCAAGCAAAACCATGGGTAAAACCTGTACAAGCAAAGCAGTTAATTTAAAAGAAGATTTATAACTCAGCATTACTGTAAAGTTTTTGGTTTTTTTTCTGTTATGTGTTCTTTTATAGTGGCTGGCTAGATACTGGTGGTAATGAAGAAAATACCTATTAATTGTGTAAATAATTACCCTTTCAGTGTTCTGAACATGGGCACAGGGGAGATGTTGCTTGCTACCAGATTTTGTCAAGCAATAAATCTGTAAATTACAGCTTCTGCAAAAGGATAGCATAAAAAAGGAGTTTTAAAGAATTGGTGTCCACCTGGGAAATCCACGAGGAATACGGACTACATCTTTAGTTTAGTTAAAACCACTGCAATTTTAATGCTTTTTTGCGAGCGTCGAGATTAAACCTGGCTTCTTTTCACCGTACCTTCCTCTTCCGGAGCTTATAGTCGTTTAGCTCTTCCACATCTGTGATCTTCTGCTGCGGAGGCGGTGGGAGAAGCTCGAGCTCCCTCTCCTTTGCCTCTCGCAGAAGCTGCTCCGCTGTGATTTGAACTTCGGCGGGTGCTTTGTTTTTCACCTGCAAGGCAAACGCAAGGCGGGCTCGGCTCGCGTTTCCCACCGCAGCACCGCCACGGCCACGCTCCTCCGGCGCCCCGCTACGCGCGGAGCCCGCCGGGACCCGCCGGCCCGGGCCGAGTGGGGACCGAGGGGTCCCGGAGGGGTCCCGGGGGGGTTCCGGGGGATTCCCGAGGGGGTCCCGGGGGTCCCCGCCGCCCTCCGCGCCACCCACCTTCGCCACTTTGGGGATGCGCTGCTTCCCGGCCGCCGTAGACGCCATCTTGCCGCCGCTGTGTGCGCGGGCCCCGCCCCGGCACCCCTGACCTCACGCAGCCCCGCCCCAGCGCCGTTGCCGCGGTAACGGCGACGCGTCCCCGGCGGGCGGCGGGACAGTCCGTTCCGTTCGTGGCACCCTCTGATCGGTCTGTCTCGTCCGCGGGCTCATCTGTCCCGTCCGTCCCGCCCTTGGGACGCTCCGTGGCCGCTCCGCGCCGGGAACAGGGCAGGTGAGAGCGCGGCGCTGTGCCGCGGGGCGCCCCCTGGCGGCTCGGCGGAGTGGCTCTGTCCGCGTGCGTGGGCGTGGCCCGCGGGCCTGAGGGGGTCGCTCGCCCCCCGGGTCCGTGAGGCCGCTGCGGATGTGCCCATGGACAGCGCGGGTGTCCAGCCCCGGTGTCCACGCCCGGTGTCCAGCCCCGGTGTCCACCCCCGGTGCCCAGCCCGGTGTCCACCCCCGGTGCCCAGCCCCGGGTTCAGCTCCCGTGTCCAGCCCCGCCCCACCCCGTGGCCCCGCCCACCCTTGGCCCCGCCCTAGGCCCCGCCCTCCCGAGCCCCCGGGGGTGCCCGTCCGTCGCCGCCCTCAGCCGCCTCCTGCCGCTCCCCGCAGCTTTCCCGAGGTATGTTCGCGTCTGGTTTCTTTTGGGCCACAAGCACCAAAAAGCCCCGCGTGTAAGCTCGCTTGTGCTCCAGGAGTGTTTGTGTGAGGAGGCGGGAGGGAACGCCTCTCTCCGCTTCTTCTGCGGGCGTCTCTGGGATGCTGCTCCGTGGGATGAATGCAAGAGTTGCTGCACGAGCAGCGAGTTTCCTTACGAAAATTGTACGTTTTTACTGTGTAAATGCTTTTTTAGCTCCCTGCGAGAGCGTTTAAGGGAGCTGGTGGAGATGGATGTGTATGCTTTTACCTTTGAGTTAAAACAAATGACTGTGAAAATGTTACAAATGGTTTTCCTCAGCTGAAGTCATCGTAGTGCCAAGCCTCAGCTGATGCATGGCCCTTTAAAGTTCGCGTTAGTTTTCCTTTTTGAAGCTGACGCGTGTTTGCAGAGGATGTGTTGCTTTTGGTTAATTTCGGGCCCCGCGCTGGAGCTGCAGTGTCTGGTTTGTCTGTGAAGGATGTAAGAGTGCGTGCGGCTTTATCTGTATTTAAAAGGTGCGAAAAGTTGTGTTTCTTTTGGTTTTTCATTTGAATTGGGAAATGCGGTGCCTGACACTGAGCGTCGCATTTGGGTTTGCAGTCACTTAGAAGTGGCTGTTGTGTTTGGCAGAGAGGTGAAATTGCTCTGCTGGTCTAGGTTTGTTGGTTTAGACTATTTTTTTTTTTTTAGTTAGTACGGCTGTATTTTGTACTTCTATTGCGGGAAGCCGTTGTTGGGTCGCTTTATTTCACAGGCCTGGCTGTTGGCTGGGTCGCAGCAGTGTGCAGGACTGAGCAGGCAGCCGGCTGAAAGGTGTTGGAGCCGAGGGCATGCACAGGTGGTCCGAGTATCGGCTGCCCGAGTGTTCTGGGCAAATCAACAAGTCAGTTGTGCCCACAAAAAAAACACTTTTTTTTTTTTTTTTTTCTTCTACCTAGGAAAGCAGTAGAACTTTGAATAGCCACAGAACTTTGAATTCCTTCTGAAGTTTAAGCCCTGCTGTTGACCTCAAAAGAAATTCGAGGAGCAGTTTTGTACAAAAGACAGTTAACACACCTGAAGCTGCTGTTTAATCGGGACGTTGTTGCCCTGATTGTTTGCAGCTGAGCCTCCTGACTGCTTCCCCTGACTGCCCGCAGCTGAGCCTCCCACTGAAAGCCTTGCAGTTTGAATTTCTTGGTGACGAGCTGGTTAGCGTGCAAATGAATAAATAGGAAAGCAGCTGTAGCCTGTTAAAACTATTGATTTCCTCTGTTTCCAGACAATAGGAGTGATTGCCTGCTGCGTTTCAGGTGGGCACTGTATAGGCAGTGTGTTGTCTGGGTGTACGCAGGAATCAGGCACCAAAATCCATAGGAGCTACCCCAATTTAGAGCAGTTGTGAGAACCCCCTGATGTGAGCGTGTTGGGCAGGGGATGGCTGGAGCAGAAGTGTTTTCCTTGGTTCCAGTGCAGCCTGTGGGATGGCCACAGTAACCTCCTGGAGGGGAAATACGGAGGTGGTCACTGCTAGAAGGACTGAGTCACGCGATGTCCCAGACATTGTCACCCTCTTCAGCCCTGTCACAGAAGACCTCTTCGGAAGAATTGATGTCACTTACCTTTTGTAAGTAACGGTGTTTTAGGTTATCACCTTTCAGGCCGTCACACTTAAAATGGCAGAAAACATTCTGAGCTTTGACATGGTGTGACATAATGACTTTTTGTGCCCTTTCTAAAAAAGGAAAGAAAATTCACTTTCATGTCTGTCACGTGCACGACTGTGCAAACCTTGGTCCCCGTCATGGTGGGCAAGGTTTAATTCTATACTAGCTTCCTTTTGCTAAAGCTCAGAAGAAATGCTGTTGAATAGCACCTGATGAAACTATCAGCAGACAGGCTGTGTCACAGACAGATACTGGTGGGTCACTTAGGTTTTTTTTTCCCCCTTCATAGCAAAGATCTCAGATAACAGCTGTTTTGGGGAAAAAAAAGAGATGTGTTGAGAAACATATAGACAGAAGGGAGTGTCTTGCATCTCAAGTTTGCTAATATGGTTGAATATTTGAAAATCCACCTGAATTTTTATAGTGTTAGAACACGAATATTGTAGAAGCAACAATACCAAGTTAGCATGTGGATGATGAAGTTTTATTAAGGCCTGATCCTGGGAACTCTCTTGAATGTGACTAATTTTGCTGTTCCAGCAGGCTGAATTCACAGTCAGTCACTTTTCTGTGTGGAGTTTCTTTAACTTGTGCAAAATTAAATTGTTTTCGTAGAGGAGTATCAAATCTTGCTTTGACACTCTGCAATGAGAAGAACGAGGTTCTAGCCCATGCTGCCTTTCTGGACTATCCGAATTGGAATATCACTGATCAGGCTGAATGGGAACCATTCCTGCATGAAAACTACACTAACAATAAGTGCACTGTAAGTAAATGGTGTGATTTTAGTTGAGTTTTCATTTAAGGCTCAGGTATGGAAAATACACATGGGCATCTACAGTCTATTTCTGGTAGATTTGAGGCATTCGGGATGCAGGAGGTGTTGGATTCCTTGTGAAACCCTTGTGCTGACACGGGCATCTTATTTTGGCAGTGAGCTTGTTTGGTGCAGGTGGGGAGACTGTTGCTCTCTGCTTTGTGTGCTGGTGACTTTCACACAGGCTCCTTGGGTGAGCTTGTGAATTTCTGGTAGGATCTACGGACTTGAAACAGGCCCTTACAAGTTTAGCACTCAAATGCTCCCCCATCACCGAGCCCGCCTGGGAACTGTGTGATTGTTGAGAACATACAGAAAATGTTAAACTCCAGGCTCTCATATAGCAGCACGTGCTATAATATAAATTATATAATATAATGTTTATATAATATAAACAGTGCTGCAGTTACCTCTGGGCATTGTGTTCATCAGTGCTTCAGGGTCTTCTGTGATGTTAAGCAATGGCTTGGAGCTAAACTGACCAAAACAGCATCTGAAAATGTGTGCTCTTGGAGGAAACAGCCAAAGGGAGTGTGCAAAAAGGACCTGTGATTTCCTTGTAATGGACTTTGTTTGTCCCTTGAGTGGCACTTTGTGGGCAGGCACAGCCACTTCATTCAGGGTGCAGCTGCTCTGGGGGTTCTGCTGTGCCCTGACCTCCTTTGGGCTGTCTGGTGGCTCCGTAGGATCTGCTGCAGGGGCCTACAGAGAAAAGACAAGAAAAATAAATTACTGCTCAGAACCAGTAGTGAAAAATACCTTGAAACAGACAGGCAGCAGAGCTCTTATTTTTCTAGAATATAGTTTATTTGCTAAAGTAGGTGTAGAAGATTGAGTGTTTTGTGCTTCTGTATTGGGCAGAAGGCCTGAACGTTTTCTGGTGTATAACTTTGAGATGTCATTGGTAAACTCCAGGTTAAATCCATGCAGGTGTGCTTTCCAAAACTGAGTTCATCTGAACATAGGATTTCTGTGAAGTCTAGTTGACCTCTCTTTTCCCTAGAGCACAGAAATAATTTCAGGGTCTGAAGTGGGAGGTGACTTGTGCAGAAAGGAATAAGTGAGGATGCTTTACTGGATTGTCTGGTTACCAGTACTATTCAGAAAGAGTTACAGTCCAAGTCTGGTTTACTTGGTGTCCTCTTGGACCTGAACCAGTAATATTTCTTTTGTTTTGTTTCTTCCTTTTGCTTCTAAAAAACAAACAGCCTGATTTTTAGGCATGTCTTTAGGTGCTTGCTACAGTAGCTTGTTGTCCTGATGCTGGTCCATGTACTGCAGCCTCTGTTGAAATTGTTCTTGCTCTTGAATTGCTGAAGTTTATTGGTGCCTCTAGCTATGGCATTTTAATTGAATAGAAACAATATATAAACAATAAATACTATTCAGAAGATCTCAGGTTTTCCATTTAAAGTATTTTTATCTACCACCAGACCTTCAGTGACCCGGCACTTCTAATAAATATGCCAGAGAATAACTGATTTAATGGCCCTTACCATTCCAGCACAGGGCTTTTCCATGTACACTGCAGATGCATAAGATAAAGCTGTCTGCTAGTCTGCCCTGTTTCTCTGTCTGGTATTTGTGTGTCTAATGATGTCATCTTAAAATTTGTAATTTTTCGTACTATCTTTAAAGAAAAACCACTTTAGGATTATGAGAAGCATGTGAGCTTTTGGTTTGAGGCTTTTTTTAAACCTAAAAAGAATGTCTTTGTCAGACACATGTTGAGTGTTTAATGTGGTTGAATGTTGTCAGTTGAGAATTAATGCTGTTCAATATGAAATGTATAGTGTATATTGCAGGCAAACAATAGTAAACTGAGTAGAAAGAAAAAACACTTCAGAAGTACAAAATGATATAAAGCACTTTAGTCACTTAACTTTACCCACACGTGCTTTGAGGTCACTTATGTATATTTTGTTGTTCCTTGAGTGCAGATCATGTATGTTGGAAATGCATATGCGTACTAATACTTAGGCTGATGGAATAAACATGAGCTGCATGGTGTATAGACTTTCACTGCTTGTTTTGTAGCCTTTGAACACTCTCTTTGTGCATCTCTTTGTGGCAAAGGAAGAATATGCAGCTGGATGTTCCCAAGAAATTGTTAGGTGAGTTCCTCTGCAGCCTTGGCTAGTGAAGCGTGTGCCCTCTCCTGCTGTCAAGTCACGTTTGTCAAGGCATCTCATCCAGATGCCGTGTCAGAGATCTGCCAGCAGAGGCCTGCTATCTTAAATATCTCACCACTGGGAAACTGCTATAAACAAGAGGGTGTTTGAAATGTAAAGATTGGGAAATATGAAATAAACGAGGTAGGAAAAAACAGTCAAAGCAACAAAAAAATTTACCCAGATGAATTTCACATGATACTGTTTATCACAGATGTTTTAATTGTTGAGCCATTTGGAATACCAAAGGAGGTTAAAGACACTGGAGAAAAAAAAAGGTATATATTAAAAAAACTAGCTTCTGTCTGTCATTGATGGGTCAATGTTTGTTATAATGTGTGATATTATATATACATATGTAGTATGTTTGTTATTTGTCCAGGAGAGCTTTCATCTTACTACCAGAACTGCAGTTTATACTTCTCTTTATACCATCTGAGGAGAGGTTAGGTAAGAGTTTAATACTGTTTTATTCTTGAAGTGAGAGCAATTGCAAACCTAATAAATATGCGCTATGAGGTTGTTGTGGTGTTCTTTTTTAAATACTGAGAACAGTTATCCGTTTGTAGACATGTGGAAAACGATCTAAAAGTATCTTCTTTCGAAGATCCCATGTGCAAGAGGTACCTGTGGTTCCATGCTCACTCCAGCAGCCATTCAGCAGTCTGTCCATTCCCTGCAATCTTTAAATTTGCCAGAAACAGGACATCAAAAAAACCAGTAAAGATCTCAAAAATCAATCCCTACAAGTTTGTGAAGATTTCTGGTTGAATAGAGCCAAGATATTTGAAATTTAGCACTTTATCTTACATAGTCAAGCCAGTACAGATTGGAAGAGGACTCCTTGGTGAGACTCAAAGGGGCTGCTGGAGAGATGGAAGGAAACTCGGATTATTTCTTTTAGAACAGAGGTACAAAGGTAGAGAATATACATATTAATCAGAGAACAGCACCAGACTTGGAATTTTGGTCCTGAATTCAGACTAATAAACCAAGCATGCGCTTCACTGAGCTGAGAAAGGAGCTGGAACTCTTTTGATAAGCCAGCTTCTAGACACGTTGGTTCCAAGTCACACTGAAAGACTATAGTGATGTGTCAACTACAGAAAACAGGGCTTGAATGAAGGGTTTTGTCAAATACATCCTGGCAACCAACATCAGCTTTCCTTGAACATTGTGAGCGCTGACAGAGGTTCTTCAGAGTCATAGAGAATTGTCTGTGTTATTTTTATAGGGATTGGATTCTACCGATTTCTGATTGCTTTGAGGCTTATTCAGATTTGGAATGCCAGATTAATTAGATTACTTTGGTGAGGATTCTCACGTGTTTATACTGCTGTCATTTCAGCCTCATTGCCTAACTTAAAAGATTTGGAGCGTTTTGTGGTTTAAGTGTGAAACTCCATTTTCCTCAGACAGTTTTGCTGCTAATTTAAAGCTTGCATAATGAAGATTCTCTGTTTCCCCTGACAGGTTTTAGTCATTCAGAGCTGGCCATGGGGAACGTGTTTGAAAGGATGATGCCTGCTCCCAGCTCACGCATGGAGAGAGGTTTCACCTTGCTGGCGTGCCCCAGGCATCGGTGTCACCCCCAGCTGTATGTGCGCCAAGCAAGGTAATGCAGCTCCTCGCTTCTGCTAATAGCACATCTGCCTGGGGGAAACTGCAGCATTTCCCTTCTTTGGTTTGCAGCATCAGGAGCTTAGCTTGACCGCTCTGACTTTCTGTGCTAACCAAACTAGGTAGTTCTGGGATTGTGCTGATTTTGTTCTATTTCATCACTAGATGAAATATTTTTTTGAACGCTATTTAGCTTATGCAGGAAGACTGTTTTCTGTCAGTGATGTTTATTCTGTGGTCTGCTGGCTGAATTAGACCACTGCATATTTTAGGGAGTGCATGTGATTTCCAGGTTTCTTGTAGCCTCTTCCAACATGTTTTTAGTTTTCTCAGTTTCTCATGCTGAGCAGTCAAGCAAAGCTTGAATAGGAAGGCCTGATACCTAAAGGAAGTAAATAAGACCAGAGAATCCCTACTTCCAGTAATCTTTCAGACATGAAAAGTAATTGTGTTCTGCGCAGTTTTTCCTGTGGAAGTTCTCTATGGATGCTAAAGGCAAGCAGGGAGCACAGTGTCTGTGGAATAGCAGGCTGCATAACTTTCTCAGACTCGCCTGGGAAAGTGGCCTGTGGAATCATAAGGAGGGATTAACAGAGTCCTCAGAGATAGAAAACAGCCTTGCAGGTGCTGATTGTCAGTTTCTTGTTTTCTTGCAAGAGAAGGTCGAGGGTGGTGTGTTAGTTCACTGACCAGAAGGGTTTTACCTTTCCAGACCTTTGCATATCGGTCTATAAAAGATGATCTGGGGTAATAAACCTCGCTCTCTCCTGTTCAACTCGCAAGAGAGTCTGTGTCGTGCTTCTCGCTGTTCCCAATAGAGTGCGACAGTGCTGCTTGCCTAAGCTTTGACTGTGTTTTGGGGCAGCGGCCTCCTTGGCCTCGCTGAAGGAGCTGAAGAAAATCGTGGGGTAACACAATTCTCTTTCCATTGTGTTACCCTTTTTTGGCCCCAGTTTGGAGCAAAGATTTGATATCCCCACGCAGTGTGTCTTCAGCAGAGCTTTGGTCTTGCTGTGGGATCCTAGTCATAAATGTCATTATAAATGTGAAGCTGAATTATTTTTCTTCTTTCCCCTCAGCACAGCTGCCTGCAGTGTGGGAGGCAGACACGTGCATTTCCCTGCAGCTTCTGTCTACCTGTGCAGTGACTGTTGCCACTCTTGGTTTTTCCTGCCGCATGTGTTCTGTGCCAACGTTGTGGCCAGGACATGAGAAATGCCGAGTTTCTGACCCAGGGCCCTGGAGATTTTCCTGTTGGTGTGTTGCTGTGGAGATGCTGTAGTGTGGTTGAAACAGAACATGTATCCATCAAATTTTGGGTTTATTGTCCTCTTCACAATGAGAAGACTGCTGGTAGGGTAATGTTTTATGATGAAGTAGTTTGATTTACCTCTGATTTATTCTGGAGGTGTTTTTGCATGCAGTAAGTGTTGCTCTGTGGCTAGGTAGCAGAGTGGTGATTAAATTAGCATTTCTGATGCCTGCAGTGGTGGCTGGAGTTTAGGGAGAAGCATTTTCCTTGGACACTGTCACATGCTGTGGGTGTGGTGTGAGTGGTCTGTACTGACCAGTGCTCAGGGATGATGATGCCACCTTGAGTGTGTCTGCTGGGTAAAGCCACGCCGTTTGTTTATGGGCTGATTGACGCTGCCAGCTTGGGCTGCATTCGGACAGAAGCCTGTCTCTGAGAGCTGTTTTATTGCCTGTATTGAATTTTACTACATGGGCCTGAAGCAAACCTGCAGCTCGTGTTCCTCCTGTTGCTTGACTTCTGAGCGTTTTAAGAAAGAGGCCTGACGTTTGCCGCTTCACATCTTCCTGCTGTAGCTCTGGCTATTTCAATGTGTTAAAAAACTCTTTTGTACTCACTTGTACAGTTGTTAGGTTTTTGAGTGTTTATTTTGGGTTGTCTACCACCTATCACTAAGTGAATGGACTTTTATACAGAGAAGGTATCAGTAGGTGAGTTAATGCCTGAAGATTTAAGGTGTTTCAATATACCTTGGTTCAGGCTATCATATTTGTCCTGTTTTAAAGTTTAAACTAATTTTTTTTTTTTTTTTTATGGCCATTGGATATTGTCAATAGAAATGTTCTTTTGCATGACTGGAAATGTCACTTAGGCCATAGCAGTATTCCTGGTGGGAGCCACCATTTTGTCTGGGATTTTGGTACTTTGTTATAAAAAGTAAAAATTTCTTTAGCTGTGTTATTACTAGAAAATTAACTGGGAAACTGATTTTCCTCTGAAATGACACACTGGTGATATAAAATTCATGCTTCAGTGTTGTCTATCAGTAGATAACGGGTAAGGCTAATTTCTGTTTGCAGAAGGAGCTCTGCCTTTCCCTTCCCTCTGCATTCACCTCTGTGCTTCAGTGGCATCCATAGTAACAGTGAGTGGAGCCCTTGGAGACTCCTCTGTGGATGCTGAGCACAGCCACCTGCCTAGCAACATGTTCTGGGGCAGTGAGAGGCGATTACCCTAATCTCTGTCCCCTCTTCCCTGCTTACAGAGGGGAAAAGCAGCTGTAAACCGATAGTTTGTTTAACCATCCCGAAGCCTGGGCTGTCAGCAGCGTGCCAAAATGCAGCCCCCACTAAGCTTTGGTGTTTAAGGTTCTTGCTGGTGTCTTGTTTAGATCCTGCCATTCTTAGGTTTGTACCCTGTAGGCAAAAGTCAAATTTGCAGCTCTGTGCTTGTGCTCACAGTAGAGGAATTTTGTGGTGTTTTTATGATGGGAAGCTTACTGGGGTTTGGAGGGTTTCTTTACTTTTTAAAATACCGTGGTACTGGTGGAAGGTAGTAAAGCAAAATAAAAAAGTTGAAATGGTTGTGTTGCTGCAGTGAATGGGCGTGTGCAGAGTCCCACTGACTGTCACAGGGTCAGTCTCCAGGAATTGCCATCTGCACCTTTGTGTGTGGCCTTGTCCCGTGTCCCACAGAGCGGAATGCTGCAGGGCACTCAAAGCACTTGGCACGACGTGTTTGGAGGAGGTGTGTGTCTGCTACAGACCCCACAAAATAACGGGGTTCAGTTAGGATACAGTCATATTCTGGTACCCCTCTTCATTTGGTTTGTTTGAGGTTTGATAGCTTATTAACAGATCTGCTGTACTGATTAGTTGTGCTTAAGTGGTGATGTTCTGATAATAGAAAACCTCACCGCAAATTTTCCCTTCCTGTGAAGGAAATGAAGGTAACCATTTTGGTTTGAGGGATAAAGAATGAGTTACTGTAAGTTTTTATGGAGTTTTTATTGTTGCTGGAGCCTCATTTTAATTGAGGGAGGTAAAAAAAAAAAAGCAGAAACAGGGTCAGAATCCAAGAGGTCCCTGGCCTTGCTTACGAAGGTGGTCACATCCATTCTGGTGTGCAGGAGAAGCACCCAGAGACCCCCTGGCCACCTCTCCTGTGCTTGGGAACTCAGACAGTGTTTGATACAATGAGGAACAACCTCTTTTGCCCAACTACATTTTCTTTAAGGCTCCTGCCAAATCCAGAAACACGTAAAGAGCGGCACTGAGAATCTATTTATTGTCTCGGGCCAGTCCCGGTGCCCGAGCAGGGGGAGGAGGATTATCCATGCCGGGAGATGCCGAAGGAGCCGCGGGCCGGTGCCGGTGCCCGAGCAGGAGGATTAGCCATGCCGGGAGATGCCGAAGGAGCCGCGGGCCGGTGCCGGTGCCCGAGCAGGAGGATTAGCCATGCCGGGAGATGCCGAAGGAGCGCGGCCGTGCCTGGCGGGGCCGCGGGGTGGCGGCAGAGACCGGGGCCGGGCCCCGGCGCC